AGGCTGAGAGGGTAAGTAACTTGTCCAGATCTGTCTGACTTGGAAGTGTATGCGCTTATGTTTTCTTTTTGATAGGTTTTTGCATGTGTACTCCCTGGAGTCAGAGAGACAGAGACAGTGAGAGGGACAGTGAATGGCTGCACCATGATCCCTTCTCCTCCATTCTCTTCCTGAGATCTTGGGCACACACACACACACGAACCCAGCATACTTTGGGAGCCACTGAGTCCGGGATTCGAACCACGGTTGGCCACGTGGGAGTCCAGTGATGTAACCACTACGCCATTAGCTAGTCCTAATACATTGTGTTTTCTATTTGCCTCTCTCTCTGCTGTGCCCACCAGGCTGTGTGGAAATTACAACTAGACTACATTACCCTCTCACTTCCCTTTGGGTTTGGCCAATGGGAGACACAAGCAGAAGAGTGGTAGGTGGCCTAGAAGGAGGTCAAGGGATCCATCCACCTCCAGTCTCGCTCTGGGGCCTCCTGCTGGCGGTGGCACCGAAGGCCACAGCTTCCTCTGACAGCTGTCTCCTCCAGCGAGAGCTTCCTCCCATGCCCTGGCTTGGGGGTGGCAATGGCCCTCCGCTGTTGCTAGCTCCAGAGTTCTTGACAATTCCCTGTTGACTTATCTCAGCCTTGCCCATACCTGTGTAAATAGTCCCCTCACTGACCCATACGGGGACGTCAAAAAGTGTGTGGGAAAATGGAATCACAGTATTAGCTTTTGTTGCTAACCCCCGCCCCAGTGAAATTTGTACGTATTTTAATTCCTTCCTTCCTTTCTTTTTTTCTTTCTTTCTTCTTAAAAATTTGCTATAGGGTGCAGGCACTCCCCAAAGACAGACAGGGAAAGAAGGAGAAAGTGAGAAAGCCTGCCCCCCCTACTCCCAGGGGGGATAGCCACACGGCAATTCCTTCTCCTCCTTTCTCCTCTTGGGATTTTGAGCACATGCGCACACGTATCTGGCATGTTTTTCAAGCCGCCAGGTCCGGGACGCGAACAGTGCAGTTGGTCATGTGGGATCCAGCCACCCTGACTACCACATCACTGGCTGACCCCATAGTTTCTTCAACATACGCCTTTTCCATTAACTTCTGTTCTTCCTGGTTTTGTTGTGTTTTGCTATAGGTTACAAGCAAAGTTGGAAGCAGAGAGAGACAGAGAAAGATAGAAACTGAGGAAGTACCCCCGACGGGATGACCACACTGCAGGCTCTCTGGCATGTTTCTCAAGCTGCTAGGTCTGGGATGTGAACCGCTGTCAGCCTTTTGCGAATCCAGTCCCTCACCTTCCACACTACCAGCTGGCCCCTCCATTAATTTTTTTTTTTTTTTTTTGAGAAAGAGATTTTTGCTAGAGAGCACATGTGCTCACCAGAGAGACAGACAGAAAGTGAGAAATGACTCCCCAGGGGGATGGCCACACTACTCTTGGGATCTTGGGCAGTCACGTACAAGTACTGGACATGAGTTTAAAGCCGCCGGGTGCGGGACTCAAACCGTGGTGGATTATGTGGGAGTCCAGTGACATAACCATTACTCCATTTGCTGGTCCCTCATTAACTTTTTGAAGACCCCCCTCGTCCCTTCAGTTACTCCTTTGAGTGCCATCTGTGAGCAGTTGGCGCTGTGGCAGTGCGGGCTGCAGACAGCCCAGTCCCAAACTTTGACTCGCTACGCTGGGAAGAGAAGCTCTCTTCTGCCTTCTCCCTCCCTTCTTTGCTTGCTTTCTTTCTCTTTTTTTCTCTTCCTTCCCTTTCTTTCTTTTTCTTTCTTTCTCTTTCTTCTTTCTTTTTCTTTTTTCTTTCTTTCTTCTCTTTTTTTTTTTAAAATATGGTAGAAGGCACTGGAGAGAGACAGCAAACTTTGACTCGCTACGCTGGGAAGAGAAGCTCTCTTCTGCCTTCTCCCTCCCTTCTTTGCTTGCTTTCTTTCTCTTTTTTTCTCTTCCTTCCCTTTCTTTCTTTTTCTTTCTTTCTCTTTCTTCTTTCTTTTTCTTTTTTCTTTCTTTCTTCTCTTTTTTTTTTTAAAATATGGTAGAAGGCACTGGAGAGAGACAGAAGAGACAGGGTTCTCTTTTTTTTTTTTAAATATGGTAGAAGGCACTGGAGAGAGACAGAGAGGAAGAGACAGAAAGCGAGAAAGCTCTCCCTTGTGGGGAACGGTCAGGCTGCAATCGCTTCTCCTCCATTTCTCCCTTCTGCTGGGACTTGGAGACACACGCTGCCTTAACCACCATGCCACCAACTAGCTCAGAAACTCTCTTCCGTGGGGCTCCAGTTCCAGCCTGAAGGTACGTTGGTCTAGAGCTGCAGGCAGATATTTTACCTTTCTGTATACTCAGGAGGGCAAAGCTGAGCCCTGAAAGAGGTCAAATACATATATTTGTTTTAAGAACAGACCTCAGGCATGTGTCCATGGGAATGAGAGAGAAGAAAGAAGGAAGGAGGAAGGGGCTGGTAGATGGCATAGTGGTTATATCACTGGACTCCCACATGGCTGATCACAGTTCAAGTCCCAGACCCAGTGGCTTGAAACTTGTGCTGTGCGTGCCCAAGATCCCAGGAGGAGAATGGAGGAGGAGAGATTGCGGTGTGGCCATCCCTCCCATCAGGGAGTGATTTCTCATTTTCCCTTTCACTGTCTCTGTCTCTCTCCAGTGAGCACACAAGTCCTATGGCAAAAACCTCGAAAAGGAAAGAAAAGGAAAGGAAAAGAAAGAAGGGGGAGGGCAGCACCCTCCACACAGTCTGGTCACACTGCGGTCCCCTCCCCCAGTCCTTTAGCCCAGTGCATTCTGGGCACTCAAGCGTGTGCCTGGGCTGTATCAGGCCAGGGATCTAAACGATAGTCATCATAGGCCATCTGGCTTCTCCTGAGTACTGTATTACCACGGACGCAGCCCCAGATATATATTTTTTAAAGATTTTATTTCTTCCATGAAAGAGAGAGAGGAGACAGAGAGGCAGAGACAGGCACCCCCAACAGGATCTTCACACCACCACCCACCCTCCTCAGCCAGCCAGGATCACGGGCATGTGGGTGCTCACCTGGTGGGCAGGGAGACCATGGGGTGCAAACCTGGGAACTTCCCATGTGGCTTCAGCATCATGGAGTGTCACTTACCACTGTGGCTGGCCAAAGGTCTATTTTTTTTTTTTTTTTTTTTTTTGAGAGGTTTTTGCTAT